GATGCCGGACTTATCTCAACTCCTCCTGGAATGTTTGGAAAACAACAAATATGCTTTGACTGTTTCCTCACCCCTCCCTTCCCCAAGGCCGTGGACATGTAACAGAACCTCAACAGAGCGGAAGATAAACGTCACCTCTTATCTGGACAATGGCTGAGGGGGGGGCTCTGGACTATGCTACGTCTTTTCCTTAAAAATTCCATGTTTTCACCACCTATATGTAAATGTATAACGTCTGTTTATGTTGCTTTGCTGTGGTAGGTTTTTTTGATGCCTCAAATTGTGCCCTGTCTAGGACACGGTGTGAGAGATCTTTTTTTTATACCGTCTCTCCTCATGTTTTCTTTCCTTTTCTTATCTAAGCAAAACATTATTCTGAATAAGGATAAGAAGGCCGCGCTGATTATTTTTAGCCGCAGCTTTGTGCACTCCGCCCATCTTCGGACGACTGTACATACATATTCGCGTTGTATGTCGGTGCAATACCAATAAAGTTTATTCTGATTCTAAAATCAATGTCAGTATTGGCAGTCATCTGGCCAGGTTGGTTTGTGTTAGAAACTCAGCAAAAGCATTCATACCTTTTATTCATCCATCCATTATCTTTACCCACTTCTTCCTTTCTGGGTCGCGGAGATCACTGGTGCCATTATCCAGCAGTCATAGAGTGAGAGAAGGGGGGGCATTCAGGACATGTCACAAGTTCATCACAGCGCCACATAGAGACAAACGAGACAACCATTCACACTCTCACTAGGCCAGTCACGATAAAAAAAATTGCTGGGCAATTAATTGTCTCAGAAATATTGTGAAAAATGATAATATTGTTTAAAATTTAACAATAATTAAGTGTCAAATCTTAGAAGAAATGTTGATTTGTTTGGAGTGTAGTACCGTTCTTGACCACCTGAGGGAAGTATAGTTGAGCAGCGTGTCTCTTTAAAAAAATGGGAGGGAGGGTCCTTGACTAGATGGGCTGATATGGTGGCATGGCCAACTCTCGATGGTTTGAGCTCTTTAGCATAGCATTTGTCACACAAAGTTTTTAATAAAAAAAATCAGTAAACAAATTCTCAGCTTCTTTTTGCAGAGAAAAACAACTTTTTACATGAAGGCACAGGTTTCAACCGTGAATTTTGGAGCTTTGACAAGACGGAGGTTTATTCCCGAGGTCGGCTTGCTAACTTATCTCGTAGCTTAGCTTCTCAGCTTAGCTGCTTTTAATGATCAAAAAATGCGATTTTGGACGGTTAAAACAGATTTTAAAGAGAAAGGGAGGGGTCAGTGAAGAGCACCGGAGTTGAGTCATGTCTTCAGTAGAAAGAGAGAGACACAAAGAAACGATAAAGCCGATAAATGAAAATGAGGTCGATAATTGTCATTCATCATGCGATTAATTGATTTATTGTTTATCGCAACAGGCCTAACTCTCACTCACTTGTTTTGGTCTGTGGGAGGAAACCGGAGTGCCCAGAGAAAACCCACGCATGCACAGAGAGAACATGCAAACTCCACTCATAAAAGCCCTGGCCAAGGTTTGATCTGGCAACCTTCTCGCTGAGAGGTTTAAAAAAATAAAACCAGAACATAATGCAAAGCAAATTGTCCAGGCTTTAAACAGAAAAGACGCAAGTATGAATATGGCTTCTCTTGCAATGGGTATGACGGCGATAATGAGTCACTCTCCCAACCATTTAATGCAAATTGCGGTTTTGACAACTGTATGGCCTTCATGTTGACACACTGATATCATGGTGACTTATCATTTTTATCATTTACTTGAAGACATACACGAGGCTTTGATGTTTGTACAATGCTACAGCTAGGTTGGGATCATGGTAACAAATGAACATGGTATTGCTTCATCTCAAGCCATTTAACTTCATAAACTATATATTAAATTAATTTCATTCATTTATTTCTATAGCGATTTACACAAATTAATAGCAAAACTGTTCCTATGACAAGTCTGTTTCTGGCTGTTTCATGTCTGTACATTCATTGTATATGGAACTACAGCCATATACTGTGACATAAAACATGGGCTACACTCGATTTCTCTAATTTAATAATCTAAATGTTGTGTCAAAGAATGATTAACGTCTGACTCAAATGTAGAAGTGTACGCTGAGACGCACTTAAGAGTTCACACGCTGACCACAAACCTACATAAACTTGTCAAGTCTGCATTAAGAAGTCTGTTGCGCTGTTCATGTGACAGACAGTTCCTGTGGAGTTTCCGTCTGCCCGGTGAAGCTCAGAAAATTGATCGAATGATGGAGGCCTTCGCCACACGCTACTGTGAATGCAACACTAACGTCTTCCAGTCCACAGGTTAGCATCACTGAATGTTGTCTAGACTTAAATAGTGTGGGGGTGAAATGCACGTAGGAGGAGTTATTTTTAAATGATCTTTTCACCACAGTGTTTTTTTTGTTTGTGACTAAAATTAGTTTTCTTAGAACTTTGTCTTTCATATCGTGATAGTTTAGAAATATTACAGCCAGGTTTGTTCTGTGGAAACGTTATGGACAATGAATTATGGAGTTTGGTGAAACAGAGTTTATTTCTGATTGGATTAATGACTGCGGTAAAGCCCTCCCCGGATTCAGAAACCTTACTATTGCCCAAATCAAGGGTGCTCGATTACAACTTCCATGGCTGGGCCGGTACCTTGAATGTGTTTTTAGACGTGCATTAATACAGAAATTTCTCTAAAAGCCCACAATTTATTTCCCTCAAACTTGGTGAGAAACATCCTTTGAATGAATAGTGTTGAACACAAGTAAAAAAAAAAAAAAAGTCTAGTGGTAATAATGTTTTTATATTTAATTTGCCCATAAACACAAGGAGCACAGACCTGGTGCTGTTTTAAAAGTGCATTAAAGTTGAAATATCTTTAAAACTCCACTGCTGACTTTCCTCCGATTTGGTGAGAAACATGCTTTAAAAGTGTGGAATCGAAGTAAGAAAATCCAGGTGAAATGTTGCTTTTTTGTACGTTATTTGACTTTAAACAGTGGGGCCATACGCAACGGCGAATATGCAGCCCAGCTGTAAAGGTTGTTATATTTGAACGCTGGATTTCGGCAATAGTAAGGTTTTCGAATCCGTGGATGGATTTATTGCAGTGATTAATGAGCTAAAGGCTAGTCTGAGAAGGATCAAGATTAAAGTGGACTTTTGTGGTACACAAACAACCATTCACATACTCACTGACACTTGGGACAATTTAGAGTTACCTGTCAATACAAATGTCTCTAGTCTGTAAAAAAAAAACTGAATACTTGGAGAAAATCAACGAGTGCAAAATACAGCGCAAATAGTGTAGGTTGCAGCTAGCTGTAGCACTTCTGGTTCACTTCCAGCAGGATTATCTTAGTTTTCTGACAGAATTAGCCTGTTATAAGAAACTGACAATGGTTTTAAAGTTTATAAGCGTCTATTAAATTTTGAGATTCAAGTTGTTTGGAACAATTCTCTTTGGTCTAACAAGGTTGAGTCAGGTCCTCTGGACAGATTCTTCTTTGTTGAAATGTTTCATCTTTTATCCAAAGGACTTCTTCAGTCTGAGACGCTGCAACAAACAATCTTATGAGCAGTACTTTCTCATAGTGGATCACCCAGTTTGCACAAAACAGCCCAAACTAGTTGTTCACATGCAAAAGGAAGACCATTAGCCCAGCATGTGATATTTAGTGCCCTGATGGCCGCTTGCTATTCACAGAGGGCGGAGTGATGCAATAACAGCAGTGTAAGAGGGGGTCAGTTGGACACGGAGCTTGAACAACTAGTTTTGGCTGTCACCAGCAAACTGGTTGATCCACTATGAGAAAGTTGTTTATGAGACTGACTTTGTTGCAGCGTCTCAGACCGAACAAGTGTTTTGGATAAAAGACATTTCAAGAAGAAGAATATCCATCCAGAGGACATTGACTCAACCTTGTTAGATTTATCTACCTGGATTATCGAGCATGCATTAGGACAATTCTCTTTGGTCTTGACTCATCAAAACTAGCGGTTAGCTTGTCAACCTGGTCAGGGTAAAACTCCTTTCCTACATACTGAGGGTGTTCAATGAGTTATCTACAACAGGTAAGATAATCTGTTCAACAGTGTTTCCATAGAAACTCACTTCACAAGAGCAGAACAATCACTTTAAGCCTATATTTGCCCGATGAACAGGAATCCTTACAGGGTTATAGATGATAGTGTTTGGTGTGCTTCAAAGTTAAAATATTATCAAATCCTCATATGATTTTCTTTTTTTTTTTCTATAGACACATGCTACATCCTGTCTTTTGCCGTCATCATGTTGAACACCAGCCTCCACAACCCTAATGTGAAGGACAAAACCACGCTGGAGCGCTTTATATCCATGAACAGAGGCATCAACAATGGAGAGGATCTGCCTAATGAGCTGCTCTCGGTGAGAACTTTCAACTAATTACAACACGTTGGGTTTTATAGACAAAAAATCAAACAAAAAATCTGTAATTCAAGGTAAGATAAGGCAGTTTTTAAAAATTTTATAAATACCTATATATACTTTAACTGTCAGTTATACTGGTTTCATTTTATTTGACGTTATGAAGGTGTGGATAAGAGACTTCTTGTGTGTTATTCGCTTTTGTTGAAGGGAGTCGCACTATGTTTTGTTTTGCAGTACAACACGTAGAATTTGACTTTGGTGACACGCCTTGTAAAACTCTCTGATATTTAATTAGTCCGTCTCAGTTTTAAGATTTGGACCAATTTCCAGGTTATGCCTTTCTCAAGTAAAGCGTTTAATGTCTTTGTTCTTAGAAACTGTACGAGAGTATTCACAATGAGCCCTTCAAAATCCCAGAAGATGACGGGAATGATCTGACTCACACCTTTTTCAACCCCGACAGAGAAGGCTGGCTCCTCAAACTTGGTAAATGATCTCTTTTTTTTAAAGTATTTCAATAAAATATACGAATATGTGTGTGTTACGTTGAATTGCTGTAACACATTAAATCTGACCGATCTGCCATGTGCATGAAAATTCAGGAAGCCAACCCAATTGTAGGGACTCTTGCGTTTCATGCTAACAAGGCATTTATTGTCAGTTGCAAAAGTTTTATGTACGGTATATATCAGTGGTGTAGTCTACACCATACGTGGTATACAGAGTAACTACAAAAGCTTAAGAATTGCAGTATATACATTTAAAAGTGCCCAATGATACATGCCATATCATTGGGCACGTGCCGTTGAGACATTAAACGGCATTTAAACGCTTCCGTAATAATCTGTCTGTATGCAGCGCTTGTTTATTACATTTGTTTGTCCAGCGAATTATTGGATAAGTCTGTACTTACTACTTAATACTTGAGCATGTTTTGCTTTGATAGTGTTTTATACATTTTATGATATGTTTTTAATACAAATTCAACTGTTGTACAAAGTTTTGTTGTACATTTATTCAAATATAAGCATCAGAGAAATTTGGAAATGTTCAAAATGCTTAAAAATCAAAATAAATTGATGATTACATTGTACTAACAGGTATACTTCGGTTTCTAAGCACAGTATACCCATTACAAAAATGCAGACTACACCAATGGGATATATACTCAAACAACAGTATCCTTTTTTGTTCCTTGAGGCTTTTAAAGATTTGCAGGTCTCCAGTAACAACTAACAACACAAATAACCATCAATACGTTTGCTGTGCCTCTGTCTTTCAGGAGGTCGTGTTAAGACGTGGAAGAGGCGATGGTTCATCCTTACTGACAACTGCCTTTACTACTTTGAGTACACCACTGTAAGACTTCACGCAGTACTTCTCACGCATCACCATTACTGAACTAAAATCTTTTTTTTTTTTAACATATAAAGTTTGAATTTCAAAATTCTGTACTTTACAGCATAGGGTCTCAAACTTAACAGTTCAAACCACAAAATATTAGTTGCTCAGATCCAGTATTCACTAACTGTAGTACTCCAACACTACTACTAAAGGACTGGTGGAGGTTCTCAGTCATCCTGGCCAAGGGAATCCTAATGATTTATAGAAGGCAGAAGATGTTTAGCTTTATCTTTGAAAGAGTGTTTCTCAATTCCCATTGTTTTTAACCCATTTCCAGGATAAAGAACCCAGAGGTATCATCCCTCTAGAGAACCTTTGTGTGAGAGAAGTGCTGTATGCTCGAAAACCAGTAAGTTTATCATGGCTGTTCAGCTCAAAATGTTCTCTAAATACTAATCCAGTTAAGTTGAACTCATCGGGGTCGTGTCAGTAGATGTTTTGGCTCTGATGTCAACCGTCTCTTGTCTTCTAGTATTGTCTGGAGTTGTACAACCCCAATAGTCGAGGGCAGAAGATCAAGGCATGTAAAACAGAGACAGACGGCCGGGTGGTGGAGGGAAAACACCAGTCTTACACCATTTGTGCCTCTACCGCTGAAGAGAGAGACTCCTGGATTGAGGCCATCAGGTCAGAATACAAACCTGTACACAAACCGAAACAAAATAAGTTACGTTGTACTGGACATTCCCTTTACAACTACATTTGCATTTCTCTGTTGTAAAGTGAGATAAACCTTCAAACGCTCTTGATGAAGGAAAAGTCATAAAGTGTGTTTTGACATGTGTCGTGAAAAATGGGAATATTGTTCACTTGTTTCCAATTTTTGAGCAGAGATTTATTGTCTGTTAGCTTATTAGGGGTGCCTAACATTTTTTGAACCATCTACTTTTGAAGATGCTGAGATCTACTTGTCTGTTCCCAGTATCAAACACATTGTTGCATTCCTATTCCCAGGTAAACAGTGGAACATAATTTTATGAGTTTAGCCCCACTCCTCACTTCCACAAAGGCCAGCATGTCAAACAGTAAAAAGCATGTTACCATTTTTTTTTTTAACTTCATAAACCAGTTGTGGCAAACAAAACAGTCTAACTAAAACACATTGACTTACCTACCAAAGAAAAATGCAATAAAAGGCAATTTCTTAACTTTACTTCTGACAAAGAAACAGCAAAAATCCTGTGCTCAAACAAAAAGTCCACTCTGGTGTCTTCTATCGGATTGTGATGGACAGGTCTCCTGTCCTTTTAAAACCAGTTGGTCGAAGCAGATGGCCACTTGTCCTGAGCCTGGTTCTGCTGGAGGTTTCTTCCTGTTAAAAGGGAGTTTTTCCTGCCCACTGTTGCCTTTGTTCTTGCTCAGGAGACTGTGACAGAGTGAAGATTCAACACAATCTGATGGCTTCCTTAGATAAATAACTTTTACTAAATGGCTTTTATAATGTGCTGTTTATAACAGTGCCCCGAGACAACTTCTGTTGGTGCTACAGAAACTGAATTGAATTGAAATTGGCCTTATAAGCATAGTTAGTAAATTGTTCAGGGTGCAGTAGTCTGATTTTAAATTGGTACCAAAAAATATAAACACACATTGTTGCTATAGTTTTTGTTTTGCACAAAATATAATTTTTTTTACTGTATGCATTATTATTTGGATATTTTGGTTTAACTCAAGGGCATGGTGGATCAGTTGGTGGAGCTGCTGCCTCTCAGGGAGAAGGTTGCTGGATCGCATCCCAGCCGGGGGCCTTTCTGCGTGGAGTTTGCATGTTCTCTCGTACATGAATGGGTTTTCTCCAAGTACTCCGGTTTCCTCCCACAGACCAAAAACATGCATGTTAGGCTGATTGGTAACTCTAAATTGTCCCTAGGTGTGAGTGAGAGAGTGAACGGTTGTTTTTTTTTTTTTGTCTCTATGCGTCCCTGTGATGGACTGGAGACCTGTCCAGGGTGTCCCCCGCCTCTCGCATAGTGACTGCTGGACATGGGCACCAGTGACCTCTGTGACCCAAAAAGGAAGAAGCGAGTAAAGATAATGGATTGGTGGACGTATAAATAGATGTTTTAACTCTAAATCACTTCAGAACTTCATTTACTTTGTAAATGAAATGTACATTACTGTTAACTGTTTAAGGTCACCTTTAGACCACTTTGTTTTTTTGCCTTATAAACAAAACATGGTTCAGTCCGCCAGTCTCAGGTCTGAAACAACTCAACATCATATAAATTGAGACCCCATCATTACCCATACCATACCATTTTATTTATAGAGCACTTAAAACAGCGACAAGGCCAACCAAAGTGCTGTACAGACAGAACAACAGGTAACACACAAAGCAAAATACAAAATGAAGTAAATCAGAAATATAGACATAAAAACAATGCAGATAATAAATATGACGACAAACCAGTGTGGAGCGTACATGTTCAAAACACAGATCCTCTGGTATTGAAAGCTACCGAATAGTAGTGAGTTTTTAAACGGGACTTGAAAACTGAAAGGGAGGGGGCCTGTCTGACATGCGGAGGTAACTCGTTCCAAAGTCTTAGTCCTGCTACAGAGAAGGCCCTGTCACCTCTGCGCTTAAGACGAGTTCCTGGAACTGTGAGGAGCAATTGGTTCGCTGACCTCAGGGAACGTGGTGGGACATACGGTTGTAGCAGATCAGAGAGATGGGGGGGGGGGGGGGGGGGCGAAACTGTTCAGCGATTTGTAGACATACAGGAGTATTTTGAAGTGGACTCTAAGGTGAACCGGTAGCCAGTGCAGTGAGCCCAAAACTGGAGTAATGTGCTCTTTTACCTGTACTGGTTAAAAATCGGGCTGCTGCATTCTGGACCAGTTGCAATGGAGGTCTGACTGATACCAAACAGGAGTGAATTGCAGTAATCAAACCTAGATGTAATGAATGCATGTATTACTGTTTCCAGGTTATATTCATTAGACCATCATCTGTATTTTTATACAGGAATGGGTTGCAAAACAAAGGCATCTGACATTAAAAAAAAAAAAAAAAACTGCTTTAAAGCATAAAATATGCAGGTGTTCATATACAAAATCCCACATAGTCCACACAGTCAAGTTTAAACCTGACAGCTTAAGAAATACACTGTTGGTAATGTGAACTGGATATGAACACATAAAAACATTGACGTCGTCAAGTCACGGAAATCTACGAAAGCAATGTTTCTTTTTTTTCTTATATTTCACACATCCACATTGCGTGTTAACTTTACTGTGACTTCCATAATTTTCTTGTGTTTCTGTGTTGACCTTAGTTGATTCCACATCTTGTGACATACCAGTAAAAAAAATAAATATATATATATAGCATGATTGTAATTAAATAAATAGGAACGCATTTGTTGTTCTACCGCCTAACTAAAATGCTCTTTACTTCTAACAGAGCAAGTATAACCAAGGATCCGTTCTACGACTTGGTCTCAGTGCGAAAGAAGAAAGTGATAAACCAAACTCCTCAGGATTGAGCAGTGGGGCGTCTCACCTCACGGACACCTGGGACAGCATCACCCAGTGATTCTGCTGGCAGTTTATCTTCCTTAAAGCTCTGAAAACACCTCACAACATATGGAACTATGGACACACAAGGCTGAACAGCAGTGACTTCTCTTTTTGTAGACTGAGAAAACTGTGCTAAAGGTGAAAACAAAACATATTCCACTGACTCAGTATTAACGTGACAAAACCATGAAGGACCTCTTAGGGATATCTTAAACTTTGACAATAGGTTTTGTGCATTTAAATGTCAATGTACAACATTTTGTTTAAAAGCTGTATTATAAACTATATTGTTTAGTTTTAGAGCTTTGTCTGACTTAAGTATTCAGTTCTGAAAGACAAATTGAGCACGAGAGATCGCAGCACCTTCATAAATGGCACAAAAAAGACAAGACGTACAGCAAGTCTCAGCTTTCTATTAGTTTTCATTTATGGCTTTGATATGTAAAGCAGCATTCATTCCTTTATTTATACAGATTAGTCCCATTGGGCTTCGGGGACTCATTTACAGCCTTACTTCTATCCATATACTGCATGTTAAATTATAAGAGATTTAAGTCAAAGGAAAACATGATTAGTGTGAACTGAATTTTCCAATAAATGGTTTTATTTTGTACAGAACTAAAGAATATTTTTTGTAACTGTCTTGTTTATGTTATTGTGAAAAAAGCATTGCTCATAAACAGAAAAATCTTGTAAATTTCTATTATTACTATATTTGAAAGCATAGTGCAATAAGTATTGTATATATTTGAATCATTTACTAGTATCTGGTGTTGTGTGTATTAAACCACATAAACTTTATATGTATTTGTCCGGTTCATAACTATTTAAATAAAAAAATGTGTTAAGATACAGGAGTAGCTTGTTTTTGTAGGGTCCAAGAAGAACACCGACAGCTGTGCTTTCAGTTGAACGCTCTGAATACATTTGACCACATTCGACTTCCTGATGTTTACCATTGCTGTGCTTCTTTCTCAGCCTGGCAGGTGCTTCTTAGGTGAAGCATCAGATCCTAATTTGTGATCTATTGTGAGCTTTTCAAAACTAAATACTTGATTATTCTTTGTACAGAAATAGTAGTGCTGTATGAATGGGTAAATGGGGGCACAGATTGTGTTGTAAAGCGCTTTGAGTATTTTCATAAGATAGAAAGGCACTGTACAAGTACAGTCCATTTACAATTTACTTTATTCACTACTTTTTCATCAAATTAACAATTGCATTTTTTTACACAATATTGAAAACTAGGCAGCACGGTGGCGCAACTGGTAGAGCTGCTGCCTCTCAGCGAGCAGGTCCCTAGTTCAAACCCCGGTCCAGGGGCCTTTCTGGGTGGAGTTTGCATGTTCTCTCCGTGCATGCGTGGGTTTTCTCTGGGTGCTCCGGTTTCCTCCCACAGACCAAAAACATGCATGTTAGGCTGATTGGTAACCCTAAATTGTCCCTAGGTGTGAGTGAGAGAGTGAATGGTTGTTTGTCTCGTGTGTCTCTATGTGGCCCTGTGATGGACTTTCGACCCGTCCAGGGTGTACCCCGCCCCTCGCACAGTGATTGCTGGACATGGGAACCAGCGACCCCCGTGACCCAAAATGGAATAAGCGGGTAAAGAAAATGGATGGATGGATGGATGGATAGATATTGAAAACTAAAGTTGGTTGAATTGCAAGGTGTGATTTTAGGCATCCAAGTTTTTTGAGACAATGTACTGGATATCCTGCATATTGTATGGCATGCAAACATGATTATAATAGGAGTTCTACATTTTCTTGCGATTTTAATCTACTCAAATCAGTATTTTTTGCATTATGGATACAAGATCAACAGATTTTGTTTACAGATCAAGCACTAGCTTGTCATATTAACGCAGTGTTCATGAACAATAAATTAACTTTTCACTTTCAGATTTACAAAAGTATGATTTGAAGTTTTTTTTTTTTTCTTCCAAAATGACAACATTTAGATCAGCTTGTAGTTTCATTATTATTTTTGCGGTCAAACAAGGAGTGCTATGTAACATGTATGGTTTCTTGACATTTAAGCACCACAAGCAAACTTTCAAAATAAGTAAAAAAATAAATAAATTAAAAAAACTACCTTGAACTTGTAGTTTTGTTCATAACGTGAATATCAGTCAATAATATCAGTTGCATTGTCACTTTTCTCTATCAACATATGCAGTGTTAAGATCAACAATTCTGTTTTAGGATTACAGGAAACACTTTTTCAGTCGCAGCATGTCAGTAAAATAAAATTACCCTATGAACACCTCTTCCCGTGCAGTTTTGACTTCCTGTTTCACTATTTCACCACAACCTACACGCACCCATTTCAACTCAGTTCCCATCAGAACTGTTGTTCCGCTTTGAGATCCAAGTTAATAAGTTATATTCAGACAAATAATGTATTAAAATAAATAATAATGCTGCATTTTCAACAGATAGATTGTAAACCAACTGAACCATCAGTGACAGGCGCTATGTTGCGAATTGTGTCAGTGTGATGACTAGCAATGGTTTTGAGAGTATGTTATGTTTGACAGCTGCTTTTCTAATAATAACTTTCAAAATTAAAAAACTCAACACATCAACGTAAACTTTATTTTAATAATGACGCTACATGCAGCTGGTGTGATTCACAAAGCGAGTGCTGCCTCCTTCAGTCGAAAGAATGAAAGCAGACAAGTCAAAACTGTTGCTAAAGGTCATTTATTTTACCCACTTTCAACAAATGTAATTTGTTTTAAACACAACAGTAGAACATCCGGGCTCTTAAAGTTTACCCTTAGCATACTTTATGGTATTAACATTAACTAGATTTAGTTTTAACACCATCATAATTGGACTAAAACAGAACCCACTTTGCATCTAGAGCAAATCAGTGAAATTCAACTGACAAAGGGTCAAATTAAAGCAGTTTTATTACATAACACCTGGAAGTCTGATTTTCCCTACTTATCATTAGTGTTGCAATTTTTCAAATGATATCAAATGAATACTCTTTGATGTAAATACCAACATAATAAAACATATACTTATATTAGAGCTGTAAAATCAACAATATGAACTTTGTAGTGAAACAGGGTCTATATATATATATATATATATATATTTAAACATTAAATGCATCACTGCACTTTAGATTTAATTACCGTATTTTCCAGTGTATAAGTCAGGTTTTTTTTTACATAGATTTGTCATTCCTGCAACTTATATGTTGAAGCGACTTGTATATGTTTTTTTGTTTTTTTTTTCATATTCACAACTTAACTTTTGACAGATGCTTTAAATTTTGAAGAACTGCAACAGTGAGTCCTGTCGTGCATGCTCGCTTCACTCAGCTGGTGCAGGCGGTGGATTTGTTGGCGAGCTAGTGGCTCCGGCCGCGATGGATGGATTGCGCTGCCCAAGTGAAACGAAGCTGTTTTGACCATTAAATAAACGCATAATAAACACAATGGGTCAGCGGTGACGCATAATAAACGTGACTTACCGGTACATGCCGAAGTGACTTATCTATGTTTTTGTCTTCTTCATGATGCTTTTTTTGACGGATGGGACTTATACGCCGGAAAATACGGTAATTAAAGCAGTTTGCGTTAATTATCTTTAACATGGCTCTACAAGCTTGAAAATACAGCACAATAAAGTATTGGTGAGCAGATGTTTAGATTAAAAGACCACTTTAAATTTAAAACTGGACATCCTTTCCTCAAGAGCAGGGCAACACAGTTCAGAAGAAGTTACCATGGTGATACGGTCAAGCTTAAAACACAGCCAGTGCTGCGACACTGAAAACACTGACATTAAGGTCCAGTTACCTGAAATCTCACAAAGGAACTCATCCATATGGTAAACAGGTAATGTGACGATCACAAACCATCTTTATCAATTAAACTCTCTCTCACTCAAGTAAAAAATAAAATACCCAATCTCTGATCATTAAGATCCTACAGTACATCTCAAAATACATTGATATTATATGTAGTAATAATCATAGAGACATCACCCATCAATCAGTACCTAGAGGACTGTACATTCATGTGGCCATTCTCTAAGGTGCTGAATGTCATCTGCCATCAGTGTTAAAGAAGTCATGTCTTTCATTTTAGGAACGTCCTCCTGCAGTTTGTGGTGAGAGACAACAAGCTTCAGCTCAAGACACCTTACATCCTTGTTTTCCTCGATACCGACCCTTAGCATCTGTGAAGATACAAGCAACAGTTCATTATAAGTGGAGAGTCCTGAAATTAAACTGAACTATGAAATCATAAACCAGCAATAAATGTAACAGCTTTGTTTTCTATAAAATAATAATATTGGGCTAAATATGATCAGTGGTTGTACAGTAGTCCTTCCGCAGACTCACTCTTTCGCGGGATTTCAATGCAAGATTGTACACAGCTGGCGATGGGGAAAGACAGACCCCACCCCTTGCCCCTTCTTTCTCTTTCTGAGGTTATCACAGCAGAGCAGAGAAACACAAAAGCCTGCGTGACAACCTCAGAAAGAGAAAGAAGGGGCGAGGGGTGGGGTCTGTCTTTCCCCATCGTGTCCCAGAGAAACACAACAGGCGGGTGCACAACAGACAACCTCAGAAAAAGAAAGGAGGGGGCGGAGAGTATCGGCCCCAATTTCCTTAATTTTGGGAAATCGGAGATCGGCTGATACTTACATGAGAAACCAATTTTTTGTAGTTTTAACAACAATTGTCTAAACTTCATTTTTATTTCAGAGCACTATCTCATGGCCAGTTAAAACAAGTTTATATTGTTGCTAGGATATTATTCAAGGGTATGTTTTTCAATAAAATAAGATTGGAAAATTGAAGGTGCATTGTGACCTTATAACAACTGACAGTGTCGCTTATAAAACAAAATGGGTATCAGCCAAAATCGGAATCGGCAGGTCAGACTTTTTAGAGATCGGTGATCGACCAGAAAACTGCAGTCGTTGCACCCCTATCTGTTTTATACCTGAGTGAGTCGCATGAGCTGCATGGATTGTTTATTTATCATGGTGCGCTAAGATTCATAGCTGGCTGTAACTACCGAACCCACCACTGCACCCTATAATCACTGGTCAACTGGTCATCATTAACTTCATGCACTCTCTCACTGGTACATTTTCATCTTTAAATCACTTCTTGGTCTGTTGCCTTCATACATCTCCTCTTACATGTCTCTGCGTGAGTGCAGCTACAGCGTGCGCTCTCAGAACATTATTACCTGCAGTGTTCCCTCAGTGAGGACTGAACTAGGCAAAAGGGCCTTCTCCTACTCCGCTCCCGTTTCCTGGAATATCTTGCAAAAAGATCTGAAGCTCTCGACCTTGACGTCTCTAAGTGGCTTCAAACATCTGCTAAGTTCATGGCAAGAACCAATCCAGAAATATTCCTGTTTTTAGTTTTCTACACTGCCTTATAATCTAGCTGTTTTTTGGGTTTTTTTTAGCTACTTTTTTCCTTATGACTGTCCTTTTGGTTGCCATGTTATTTTAATTTGTAAAAAAGTAAAATAAAAAAATTAAAATTGTATGCCTCTTTTATGATGGTCTATTGTTGTCGTTATCCACTGTTGTCATCAATCTTTGTTAAAGAAATCAGGTCTCTCTTGTAAATGATCCCCCGAGACTCAATGGGATTAACCTGTGACCTGAACGGAGCCTTTAGGAAAGAGAGCAGGAACAAGAATGCTGGATACTTCAGGCACAAGGCAATCAGAAAATCTGGCAGGGAGGCAGACTGGGGAGTGCTTAAGAAGTGCAGTGCACAGATGCAGCAGGAGGTAGACTGGGAGTGACACAGGTGCTGAGCATGAGTGTGACTGCGGTGAAGTGGGCGTGGCAGGTGGCAGAGACCGTGACACGCTGTGCTCTTTTAGAAACAGCTCTCATTTAGAACATTGTTATGAACATCGCAAGAGCGGGGGAAGGGTTTATAAAGCCTTAAAATATACGTAAATACTAAAATAAATATAAAGTCCCAACTTTGCGGATTTTCACTTATCGTGGGGGTGTCTGGAACGTAACCCCCGCAATAAGTGAGAGATTACTGCGCAACTATTTTGCTGCTCTACGCATACTCCTGGAAACACTTAAATTGGTCTGCAGATGCTTAAACTAATAATACAAATTTTTAGTAAGGTCTAAAAAAATAAGCCTCTTCTATTATCCAAACATAGTTACTCTCATGTTACAGGAAGCACTGGGTATAGAGATTTCAACTTTCTGGATGAGATGACTTCACTTACTCTCGCTGTCGTGTGCAGAGTTGACAGTTTGTTGAGACCCCGTTCTTAGATCCAGTTTAGATAGTCTTTTACTCCCTTTGCATGGACTTACTATAACAAAACTATCTTCAGTCTCATCTGTATCATGAGTTTCTGGAGGTGAAGGGCATGCTTTGTTTTTAATAGAAGGCATACTTGATTTCCCTTTTGACCTTTTCTTCCATGTAAAAATCCCCTTTTTCTTTGCAGAGACTCCATTTGGTTTCTTTAAGATTTCACTTGGGGCTTCAGTGGGCAGTGGACTCATCATCTTCTCACTGCTGGCCAATCGAGGCATCCCTTGGTCTTCCTCTTCAGAAACCCCAGGTAGAATCACATCCCTCTTAGCTCCAAAATTTTGGAGAGACCCTGAAGTGCGTGGAAAAGCCAGGGCATATTTAGGGTTGTAGAATTTGTGTGCAGGCACCTGGATTTCTGCATTCCGCGAATCCCCTAAACTAACCTGGAAACGGGATGTGGTTGCTGGTAAAGCCGGACGTTTTGGCACCGATTTAGATCGAACTGTGGCTGACACGTTAGCTGTGGGCGGACTAATGTTAAACTCCTTATAGAGGTTTAGTTTCTCAGAGATGGCATAGAGCTCACGGAAGTCCCTGTCAAAGAAGTCAACCACTTGTCCCGTCATCACAGTGATCATGTTTCGGTCCATACGAGATGTAGCCCAGGTGAAACTGGAAGAGAAAATTAGAAGCCATGACATTCAATGTATTATTTGATCCCATACATTAACTTTTTGACCATTTTGACCCTAGGGTTATAACAGATTAGACGTATCCTCCCATCTTAAGAGGATAGCTTTGATCAATTAAAAAAAAAAGATAACTTTGATCTTTTCAAGCAGAGTTTTGTGTTAGTTATTACAATATATTGTTATTTCAGGAGAACTATTACGATATTCCTGATGGCAGTGCCCCAGGCTGAATAAAACAGCTTTAACTTGAACAGCAAACTATCCTAAACATTTTTTGGAATTAATTATTGGCTGTAAAATGTGAAAATGAATGTATAATACAAAGCGAGCAAAATACTGTATATATTGAGCGCATACAGTATGCAACAAAATATAAGTGAAGGTAAAGCTAAATGTAACTTTTTCCAATTGTTGAAGCTGATTTTAGAGTATTATATTAAACATACACATAATTAATTCAACCTTTATTTATACAGGTTAGTCTCATTGAGATACGAGGACTCATTTACAAGAGAGACCTGTTTTAAACAAAAACCATAAACGAGGTACACACACCAATAAACATTCATATGATTATTACATATAATCTTACCTGTAGGAGCCAAACACAACTTTGTCTCCATCCACCAGCATGTATTTATTCGACAGTGAACCGGGGAGTCTGCCGAAGGACAAATTGAAGCCAACTCCTTGAAGCGTTCTAACTCTGATGTTCTGCAACAACAAACGTGTGACATACAGGACAAACTAAGAAAACAAGACAGTCAACAAGATATGACCTTTATGATATTTGTAGGGAATATAAGTTAGTTTACACTTTAAAAAGTGAACGTTATCCACTAGTGGTGTAACGGTACAAGTGGGTGTATTGAACCATTTCGGTACGGCGTGTTCAGTTCGGCTCACGTGCGTACCGTTTCAGTTATTTTTTCACTCATTAAATTTTATTAACCAGAGATTATGCGCAGCGGAACTAAAGTTCTTAAGCGTGTTTCAGCACGGCGCTATTAATTGTTGCATAACTTGATACCACACTTGAAAACATATGATTAAAGTTCTTGAGCCCCGCTGCCTACAACATCCCATCACCTCAACACTTCAGCCAAAAAGTTGTAGCAGCACTTTATGAAAAAGCTAAAACTGAAATTGTCAACAAGCCCTGGAGCCCAGATTTAAAGCCCTGCCCTGATGATGATGAACAAGAGATTCAACCACCTCATATCAGAAATGATGACTGTGCAAGAAAAGGTATTGTTACTGTATTACTGTAATCTAATTCACTTTTAATTTAAAATGATAAACTTATTAGCTCTTTTTTTTATCTCTTTGTTGTTTGCAGTCTGAGGATGATAGCAGCCGAGTCTTCTTCATCCACCAGATCACCTCCAGCTAAGAAGTCTGTAATGACTGAACTTTTTTACTTGGCATATTTTCAGAACAAACATTTTTTAAGTCTTTATTTTGGCATTTTTTGTACCGAAAATTAACCGAACCGAGCCCTCCTTGAAACTGAACCAAATCAAAATGTGATTTTAGCGTACCGTTACACGCCTATTATCCACTACTTGTTACTTGTGGAAAAATGTTTTTTTAATCCGCAGCTCAGAAGTATTACCTATTGTAAAGTAAATATATGAACACAAATGTTTTTATGATGCATGTTTGATGAATTTCTAGCTTCCAAATTACAAGAGTTAAACCCAACAAAGTTCAGTCAGGTCATCTGGATGGTTTATTTTTTCTGCCGAGATGTTTCATCCTTCATCCAAAGGACTTCCGTCACTCATGCTCAATAATCCAGGTAGATAATCCAGGTAGATAATCCATGAATCCAACGATCAAGTCCTTTGGATGAAGGATGAAACGTCTCAACAGAAAAAATGAAACCGTCCAGATGACCTGACTGAACTTTGTTGGATTTTCTACCTGGATTATTGAGCATGAACTTTGATACAAGAACAAAACTTTATCAGCCAGCAGTTTTTAAGCGTTTACAACACAAGAGAACAAGCTTTGTGCCCTTTGCTCATTAGCTTCCTGGCTCAAAGAGAGACTAAAGGGAAAAACATAAACAAAGCCATAAACCTCAGTATATGCTCCCTTGGTTTGATGAAAACCTTTATATCTAGCCTGTTTTCTTTTGGTTTCAGTCTCCATCAGATACAACTTTCAACATGGTGTAGTCATTCTGTTCACTTCTTGGATGAAATATTTCAAACAGGCGTTACCGAGTCCCGCTGGCCAGGAAGAATATTTATAAGAAATCATTTGTACCATCTGCAATAATGTTCTTAAACAAAGCTAAACAGACACACCTTAATGGTGGTAACTAATGGTAATAACGTGTTTTTTTAAATTTTATTATGTTCTATTGTTGGTTGTTGTGTGTCTATGATGAATGTAGAATGTGCCAAAGGAGAATTTCTGCCACAATTGTGGTAGACAAGTTTTATCTTAACTTTTATTTGAACAAGTATCTCTTTATGACATTACAAATATACCAGCTTGTATTAGTTTCAGCTTTGTATGTAACACCAAACTGTTTTTCATTTATGTTTGACATCAAAATTTGATTTGAATAGCAATACATTAATTCCAACAAACAATTTGTCCCAATTTTATTTCCTCCGCTTTGCCCAAACTTTTAATTTGTTTGTAATGTTACACTGTTCTTTTTCAAGGGAATAAAGGGTTACTGCTTATCAGGTGTGTATTTAGTCTAACAAGAACCAGTTACGGAAGGCTTAATTATTATTACTTAATTATTATTATTAATTATTGGGGTGCATATTTTAAAATAATTTCCGGTGCAAAAAGCATAGTCTTACCCGAAGGTGCTGTGAGCCAATCTGAAGTCTGGAACACATGTCCAGAAAGTGTGGCACACCCTGATTATCCAACAAGATGTAAACAGACACAGAACGACGTGAAGCTGCATCCATCAAGTCTTGCAGGATGTGGACATCTGTGATCATGTCCATCACTATGGCTATCACCTAAAACAGAATCATAAAAAAAAAGTTTTCTTAAATGCAACAACCATTTTAAAGAAAGTAGTCCCTCGCTACTTTGCAGTTCGACTTCTAAGGACTCGCTCTATGGCAGTTTGTGAACAGCTACATTGTAAAGTACAAAAAGAAAGTACAGGACACATGATATTTTATTACTCACATGATGAGGACAGTAAAAAGTTAATGAAAAAAATTTTTGGGACAGGCACCGCCATTTTGTAGTTTTCTCTCCACTCTACTCCCGCTCAAAACAACCACTTTTCCCTAGTCAACAGGGCCCCACCCAGAAGCCCCGTTTCCTTCTGCTGAACTAGAGGGAAAGTTATGATCTGATCTGAGTGGATGCAGAGAGCCGCATAGAACCCATCAAACAGGACCAGAATGGGAGCAGAACCAGACTTCCAGACCCATAGGTGAATTTTGAGAGCTGGTAGCCCGCCCACGTGGACCTCCGAGCGGGGATGTGTACAGAAGATCCGGTGGTCCATCCAGAGCCCACCGGCGCGTTTTTCATCTCTTTCAGCCGGCTGACGAGGACCTCCGAGCGGGTACACTCTGCTAAGTAAAATTTAATAGCTACATATAAGTATGTTGTTTAAAAGTTTAGAACATGGATTGTGGGCTTTGTTGCTGCAGAAATCTGCAGAATCGGAACCGAGTCAGACCACAACCAAGTCGGACCAGATCGAGAGCCGCTGATGTTCTGCATATATATATATATATATATATATATATATATATATAGTAAAATAAATATCAAGTCGCTACTTTAAGGATTTTCATTAATGCTGGGGGGGGTGGGGTTGGAACCAATCCCCTACAATAAACGAGGGACTACTGTATAAAAAGAATGGTTAAGTGTGGGTTCTTAAGTCAAATTTAAATAATTAATTTCTGTAAATGAAGAATGATTAAGTTTTCTTCTGTTAGATGTGCTCAAACAAAATGCCAAACTTAATAATTTGGAAAAGAAATGCACTGGGACATGAAAAACTTGAGACGCGAAGAACTTGAGAGGCAGGTTTGGTTCAATCTTCAGGTTAAAATGTTATCTTGATATTGTTTTGTTGGCAAGGAAAACAAAACATGTCTGGAAATATAAAAGTAAATACCTCCAAGGGCTAAAAACAACAACAAGAACAAAAGATGAAATGAACCTTTCTAACCCATTAGTAGCAAATCTTGGTCCTGGAGGACCACTACGAACAGTGCTGGACATCGCTGTCCTAAATAAAGCAATTTAACAACTGCAAATACACTAAGCTTGATAGCAATGTAAGTAATTGTAAAAGACTTGAGCAGCTGGTTTTACACAAGTACAAAATAATCCTCTAAACACAGTCTTCCTGCAGCGGTCCTGTCAAACAGACTGACAGCTTATACAGATAAAACTTTCTAACAACAAGGACTTAAATCTATCTCTGTCTGGAGAAATGCCCCAGTGAAGATTTTGCTTTGTGCTCTGCTAGAATGCTTGGATTAGTAGAAACTTACAGTTTAGCTCTCACTAAATGAAAGTATTTGAATTCCTGAAAAATAACCCTCAAATATTTTCTCATCCAGTCTTACCAGTTCAATCTTTTTTATAGCATTTGAGAATTGTGTTCTGCAGTCCTGCGGAGTTTCCACAGAAAGAGAAAAAATGCTAAGAAGGCTTTAACAATCGGAGCAACAAGTTAAGACTTGCAGACAGTGCAGGACTGTGAGCTTCTGCAAGCAAAAAAAATCAGTAAGAATAAGTTTATGTGCATTTAAAAGTGCATGTTCCTGGACATTCATGTTTTTATCTGATTTGATATTAGCTGATGATTAGCCACTGAATTTTCTGACCAGTAACTGGGCTTATCTATCTTATTTACCAGAAAGCTTTGGGAAACACCGTAAGATAAAAACATAGCATTCAAATAATCACATGAAGCCTAACCTGGTAGTTTGTTTTTCTCAAACGTTCCTTAATAGTATAAAAAGCAATGTGAACAAGTAAACAAAACAATAACAACTATTACCTAAGAAGTAAAAGGTTGAAGCTAGGCAAAAGAAAGGTGTCAACTAGAACCTTTATTGGTTTTGTTTTAACATTTACTAAAAGTGACTTGTAACCAGGGTGAGCTGAAGGAGCAAGCATAAGAATGTGAGCAAGCAAGAAAAAAGCAATGAAGCACAAATAAAAGGGAAAGTAAAATGAAAGCACCAAACAAAAGAAAGTTTAGTGAAGGTAAGACAGAAGAGAAAAGAGAACTCATACATAAAGAATAAGAGAAATGCTCAGAAAAGTCATAACATTAACAGACTTTTATAACTCTGTTTAGTCCTGACCCATTTTTAAAAAGGCAAACTGAGGCAGGCTGGGCTCAAGGAAACATGCCACGGCACTACTGAGAGGAACAGATGACTCAGCGTGGCTCCAGCTGTCTATGAGTAAATATCCCAAGTGGCACTTCATGCTCACAGACTAATTTCAGTTACTAAGTTACTAGTTAATAAAATATTAATCACTCAAAGAAGGAAGAAATGGACAAAATTGCAATTTTGTCACAATATCCTAGAGAGCATTCAGGAAAAACTTAGCTGCAAGCGTTCACTCCCAACACCAATTGGCAAAAACTCTTGAAAGTAAAGCTCCAAAATCTATCAGAAATATTATGTTCTGGTTCCAGCTTGTTCTAGGTTTCACCTATTTAATGTTAGTACTTAGCCCTGTCGCGATAAACAATAAATCAATTAATAAATTATAATTATCAACCTAATTTTCCTTTATCGGCTTTATCGTTTCTTCGTGTCTCTCTCTTTCTACTGAAGACACTGGATGACAAAAGGCTCAACTCCGGTGCTCTTCGCTGACCATCGTTAAAAGCAGCCAAGCTGAGAAGCTAAGCTACAAGCTAAGCTAACAGGCCGACCTTGAGGAAAAAACCTCCGTCTTCTCGAAGCTCCAAAATTCACGGTTGAAACCCGTGCCTTTGTGTTAAAAGTTTTTCTCTGCAAAAAGAAGCTGATAACTTGTTACTGATTTTTTTTAATTAAAAGCTTTGCGTGGCAAATGCTATGCTAAAGAGCTTGAACCACACCGAATGTCTGCAATTTTGAGAACTGAAGAAAGACAGCCCATGTCACGTCAAGGGGCCTCCCTCCCATTTTTCTTAAAGAGGCACGCTGCTTGCTCCCTCACTATCCATCCTTTAGTTCAAACAGTCTTATACTGCCATCTGGTGGTCGCAAGAAGGTACTACTGTTATGGGAAACAAAAGGCTTCTCTTCTCCCCTGCCTGGTTTGTTGCTCGGAAGGAACACATGGTTATGTCAGAATTAAACAACATCTTTAATGTTACAGACTTCAAAATGCGTGAACAAGAGAGAATTGTGTATATATATATAATATATATATATATATATATATATATATATATATATATATATATATATATATATATATATATATATATATTACCTGACATCAA